GGAACCTCTCGGCATAGGAGGGCTGAGGATAGTACGGTGTGGTGGTGACATGCCTGATGCCTCGGGCAAAACAGAAATTGCGAAAGTTGCGAGATGTGAACTGCTTGGCATTATCGGATACGAGGATCTCGGGAATCCAAAATGTGTAAAAGATGTTCAGTAACAGCTGAATAGTCGTAGCGGTGGATGCTTCCCCGACCAGGAAAATCCAAACAAACTTGGTAAAAACGTCCACACAGACTAGTGCATAGGTGTTACCTGCCTTTGACTGGGGGACTTCCCGATGAAATCTACAAACAACTTTTCCAGTGGGCGAGTAGCCACGTCAGAGGCCAGCATACCATAACGGGGGTTCTGGGCGGGCTTACTGAGCCCGCAGAGCTTGCATGACCGTACTCTAGCAGAGATATCCGCATCCATACCCTTCCATATGAAAGATTGGCGAAATTTCCGAAGCGTATTTCGCACCCCTAGGGGGCCCCTGCAGGGAGACTCATGGAAATAACTAAAGAGAGCAGGAATTAAGGCCTGAGGGATGACGATCTTAGGCCGACCGTCAAAACGAGCCTTGCAATGAAGTACGCTCTTAAGTAGAGAGTATACGGGTACTTCCTGCCCCAATGACAACTGGTCCATAATGGGGCAAAGTTCTGGGTCCCTGCTCTGGTGCGCGGCAATATCCTCGAATAGGACAGGGAAATCCAAAAGTAGCGAACAAACAGGTTTTTCGGCGCTGGGGTCATACATGCGTGAGAGAGCATCCGCGATGACATTTTGGGTTCCCCTAATGTGCTGCACATTAAATTTGAACGAGGACAACCTCACAACCCAACGACCAATTCTCCCGAGTTGGCGGGGATGGGAGAGACACCATGTGAGAGCCTGATTGTCGGTCTGCAGATCGAACTCGAGGTGTTCAAGGTACGGCCTCAATTTTTCCAAGCCAAAGAGGACTGCTAAGCACTCGAGTTCGTATGTTGAAAATTTCGTCTCAGGGTGGGATAACATGCGTGAGGCGTAAGCAATAGGCTGCAGCTCACCATCAAACTGCTGTAACAGCACCGCCGCAACCGCCACCGAACTAGCATCGGTCTGGAGCATGAACCTGTGGGAGAAGTTGGCCGTGGTAATGGCGAGCTTCAAATCCTGATGCGCGTATCTGATCAGGCCCCAACTGAAATTTAACGTCATTTTCTGAGTAGGTTAAGGGGGGCAGCGCGCTCGGCGAAATGAGGAATAAATTTGTGAAAAAAATTCACCATGCCAATAAACCTGGTGACCCCTTTAATGTCCCTGGGAGGAGGGAACCTTCTAATGGAGTCAGTTCTGCTTGGGTCAACGGAGATACCGAAGGGTCCCACAATGTGCCCCATGAAAGACAGATGAGGTGTGGCGAATTTAACCTTTGCGGGATTAACAGTTAATCCTGCGTGGCGCAATCTGAGAGAAACCTCACACAGATGATGTACGTATTCTTCGAATGAATCACTGTAGACCACCAGATCGTCAAGATAGTGAAATACGAAGTTGAATTTTAAGTTGGAAAACACTTTGTCAAACAAACAGGTCAACACCTGGGCTCCAGTGGCCAACCCAAATGGTACCCAAGTGTACTCGCACAAATTCCAGTCGGTGGCGAACGCAGTCAGAGGTTTCGCCCGGTCAGTTAATCCAATCTGGTGATACGCCAAATTGAAGTCAAGTGACGTAAACCCTTTGGCTGTCTTAGACCAGTGAAAACATGAATGGATGTCAGGCAATGGGACCAATTCAATTTTTATCGTCTTGTTAAGAGCCCGATAATCAATAACCGGACAAAACGTATCTTGCCCTTTAGGCACCAAGAATATAGGGCTGGAGTAAGTGGAAGTGGAAGGTTGTATAATGCCTTCATCAAGCATAAGACGAATATGCTGTCGCAATATCTCCATTTTTGGGGACATGAGCCGGTACGACTCAATGTCATATTGCATGAGTGTAGTGAGCCCCAATCTTGGGGTTAAGACGTCAGGAAAGTTGTCAATGAGGGAGCACAGGAGGGTAGAGTAATTGTTCTTCAAATGTGACAGATCCAGGGTAGCCGGCATGGCCGCACACACCCACGACTTATTGTCGGGAGGACTTCGCCCCAGTAAATGCAACCTGTTAGTGGGGTCAAATCTAAAAAACGCGTGCCCCTGCTGAACATCAATCATCAAACCCGTCTTCCCTAAAAAATCAGCACCCAAAATGACGGGCTGAATCAAACCGGGAACAACGTAAAATGGGACTTTCCATGTATAACGATAAATCCTGATCTTACACTTGACTGTAGTATGAACTGGGAAAGTCTGAGCAGACGCGGTAACACACTTTACTGTCACGGGATAGGTGTGCAGAGAAGGGACTGCTTTCATAAGGTAGTTATAGGCAACGTCGGACATCAAAGAACGGACAGCCCCAGAGTCTAAGAGCAGACCAACGGGTCCAAAAGCGAGCTCAACCTGAAGACAGGGTAAACTATATTCCAGAACCCCTGTATTCGTTGATTATGCGAGTTGGAAATAGTGTGGCTGAACAGAGTGGAACTTCAAGGTGGGCGATTCCCACGTGGAGGGGCTGGGTTACGTGCTAGTCAAAGAGTTGACGTCGAGAACTCTCAGTAGCTGAGGTGGGTAACCAGACATAAAAGTCCTTGCTAGTGTGACCGGGTTTATTGCACCGATAACAAACGGTCCTCGGACGGGCCAAAACAGGCACAGCGGACACGTGCCGATCGGAAGATGTCACCGAGTTCAATGGAGTCCCAGTTTGGGAGGTATGACTCTGGTCATTACACAGAATACTGTGTGTATATATGCACATTTTATCTAATTCCACATAGGTTGTCAGGGCATCACAGAAAACTAGGCGATTCCGCTCCTGAGGATGGAGTCCGTCAAGAATATTCCTAACTACCACAGCCTCATTTGGATCCTGCTGAAGAACAGCAGCCATTTCCTTGATGTGCGTTATATACATCAATAGGGGTTCATTGGCCCTCTGAGCTCTCGAATACTCTGAATTTAGTAACGGCAACATGGAGAGCCGGGGAATAAAAAAGGAAAGTATGCTCTCTTGGTATGCGTGGAGTGTATCCCCGCGGCTTATGGCTTCAATAGTCTTGGATGCCAATGTGCCTTTAGTGAAAGAAAAGAAGACCTGCAGCACTTGACGCAAGGGAACTTGGAAAACCACCAAACTTTCTCGAATCCATACTAAAACGCGCAAAAATTTTATGAGGTTGCCAAGATGCAACCGTCTGTGGGGGAAAGACCCTCAAACATGCACTGGGATTCGGCAGCTTGGTGAAAACAAAAGTGCGATTAACCATAACCAGCAGGTAAAGGTTGGCCCCAGGGGGAAGTAAATTGGACAACGTAGGTTGACCATCACTCTGGCTCGAGCCGTCAACAAGCCTACTGGTGGGGTTCAAACGCTCCTTATCCACACGCCCAGGGAGGTGAAAAGTCGCTTCGAGCCTACCTTGATCACCTTGAGGTGTGTTAGTACCTCCATAGGGGCCCGGGACCGGTGCCGCACGCTCTTCGCCCTGAAGACTGGTGTTGATTTCGGCTAAGAGGCCGTCCAATTGTTCATGCAATGTTTGGGCAGAAACCTCGAAATCTGGGGCACTTCACCCAAATTGCAGAAAATGTCGGAGACGAGTACCCAGGTGGACAAGTCGATGTAGATAGCGACGGAAATCAAGTGCAATATGGGAGCTGTCGGTGTTCTCCACCAGTTCCCTGATCTGGAGGAATTTCTCTCGATACAAGGAAATGGTGGCTGCTGGATCATTCAGACATTTCATACTGCTCAGGAGCTCGATGTTTACCTCCACATCCTGGGAGGTCCTGAGTAGTGATCTGAGTGCGGCAACATTCAACCATTCCGTCAAAATCCCCCGAGCTGCCAGCTCATACTGCAGCTCGTCCTTGTGTAGGTACTCAGGCAGTAGAGGCTCAGATGTCATGATCAACACAAAACAGAACAGAAACAGTCAAAACGTCCCAACAACCAAACCAAAACACAAATACCCCAAACCACGCTCTGCTACCACTTTTTGAAACGTACCAATGCCCAGGACCGAAAGGTGGTTTGGGGTAGAAAAGATATTTTAAACAATACACACACCAAACAAATATAATAATATAATTGGATGAGTGAAATAAAAATACAAACTGTCCCAGATGAGGATGGCATAACGTAATACCGTGCACGAACTCCGCCGTTAATTTAGCAAACCAAAAAGTTCAAGAAATAATTTGGGGACGGGACAAGCACAAGACTCTTCCATGGTGTGCAGCAGAATCCCCTTGCAGTGTTCAGACAAGCCTGCTAGTCCCTGGTGAAAGGATGAAGGGCGCAAGAGTAGGGCAGGTGGAGAGGGGGAAAAGGAATGAAGGGGGGTTCTAGTTGAGGGACATGGCAGTAGTTTCTCACGTTACACGGTTCATACCTCAGTGACCTCACTGCAGAAATACAGAAAATATCTCCTTTTTTGGTACCTAAAAACATCATAATAAAGAGCTCCACAACTTGTAACCTTCATTCACCAAGCATAATTATATGATGAAGTCAAGGGGCATGAGATGGGCAGTTCACACAACAGGCATGGGGGAGAAAAGGAATGAAGACAGGATATGTTGAGAAAGCCAGAGAGGGCTCATTACTGTGATCACACATGCTCATCATGGCTCTGTATCCTAAGGTAAAGAGACCCAGTAAAACCTGTTCCAAATTATTTCTTTCAAATCTATCTTAATAGCATCTCCCCATTCACACTTAGGTCTCCCAAGTGGTCTGCTTCTCTAGGGTTTTCCCTCCAAACCTTTCTGTCCATTTCTCACTGTTCCATGTGCACTAGATGACTTACCCTCATCACTCTCCTTGAATGCACTGCTCTCCTAAATAATATCCCAAACCGTTATCACCCTAGTGTATGAAAGTCCCCACATGGATTATGCAAACAAACAGAAGCGTGTCACAAAATATTTAGTTTCTTTGGCCAAGACAACTGACATACAATCAAATTCATGTCTGTGCACACGAGTG